CTCTCGTCTCTGCTAGGGCCTTCAACTAGCTGAACTTCGAACTCCATGGCGTAGCGCCCGGTTCTCGTCCGGTAGCGTCGGCGCCGGCATTCGATCACCTTCTCTTTGGGTCGAATCTGAGGGATTCTTGGTTTGTTACTCACCAGACTATCAACACCTCGTCGTCCCTGACCAGCAAACACGTAGATTACAGGTTTCTCTTCGTCAGCGTTGGTCTCTGCCTGGCTCCGTTCTGATCCAGCAACATCTTGGCCTTCTTGTATCTGCACAGTCGTATTAGGTACTACGGGTTCGGGTCGTGCTGCTAACGCTGTTCCTGGAGCAAGCGCTCTACTCGGACTCACGTTCCGTGTCGGTGTGTTGTCGGTGCTACGGTAGGGCGCCTGCCGAAGTCGCGCGCGTGTCCTACTGGCAATGTGGTCAAGTTCTTCTACTCCCGGGCGTTGTTTCAGTCGTGTTGGTCGCTTCCGAATACGTAGTTCTCTTATGGGCTCCGGCACTTCGTCATCTTCGGTCTTCGCTTCCCCTTCGGCTGAGACTCGTCGTTCAGCTGTTCGTCGTCTCTTCCTACCGTCTTCTGTCCTCGTCGGCGTAGTAGTCGTCCCTACTGCAGCATCACTTGTCCCTTCAGTCGCGTCCAGTTCTGCCGGTACGGCTACCTCGGCCTGTTCTTCCGCTGGTGAGAATCCTTCGTTCTCCGCGCTTTCTTCACCCTCAGAGTCGGTATCAGCTGCTGCGATCGCTTCGTCTCTTAGGTCTACAGCAATGTCCTCCGCCATTTGATCCAATAGGTGAGTGGGATAATAGAACGGCACCAGGAAGGAGCAATGCGTGATCAGTTCGCGTCCAGATTCCAGCATTTTCACCAGATAGTTGTCGTAGCCAGCTGCTGTCACCACTTGGCCAGGGCCTCGCCACCTATGCGCAAATTTCGTAATGTTCTTACCCCTTGCAGGTCGATATACCCACACAAGTTGATTCGTCCTGAACGGCGCATGCTTCTTCGCGTTCCTCCGGTTGTAGTACATCGCTTGTCTAGCCTGCTCCTTCTGAAGTGCTACTGCAGCTAATTGTTGTGCCGTCTTTAGGTCCCCAAGCAGCATCTCATGATACGACTCCAACGACTGTCCTGGATGCACAAGTCGGCTTCTTCTCAGTAACTCTGCAGGTGACCTCAACTTCCGGCCAAACATGAGTTCGTTGGGCTGATACCCGTGCGTGGCGTGCGGAGAAGAGTTGTAGGCGTACAGTGCACAAGGTAAGAAGTCGTCCCAATCATCCTGTTGCTCATCCACGTAAAGACTAATGATATCCTTCCAAGTACGGTGAAATCTCTCCACGAGTCCCAGCAGATTGGGTCGATAAGGCACTGGTGTCGCTTGTCGTGTCTGTAACAGTTCCAGCAGCTCCACTGTCGCTTTACTAACGAACTCACGAGCTCCATCCATCATTATCTCTCTCATTGGTCCGAACACCAGTACTACGCGCTCCATTAAGAACTGTGCGATCTCCTTCGCTTGGTGTTGAGGTACGGCAACCGCCACAGCATATCGGGTGGTATACTCCACTGCAGCAACCACATATCGATTGCCATGCACAGTTTCAGGTAGGGGACCAGCAACATCAATGGCCCAGCGATCACACACGTCTCCAGTTCGAACGCTTCGTAATGGCGGTACCACTACCTTTGGTCGAGCTTTCCGGGACCCGCAGTCTTGACAGGCAGCAACCCAGTCGCGCACGGCTTCCCGTTGTTGTGGCCACCAGTACATCCGTCGCACCCGTTCCAATGTCTGTGGGCCTCTCAAATGACCAGCCCAGATACTGTCGTGCGCTTCTTTAAAGGCTAACGCCCAGAAAACTACCGGCAGCACGATTCTTTCTTCGTCTGCAGCCAGTTTTACGTAGACTAATCCGTCATCTTTGGTGTACACTTCCAGTCCTCGGT